AAAATTATTGTTGGGTACCGGTACATTATTTTACATCATATAACATTATCCATTTTTGTGAATAATTAATTTTGATACAATCAGAAGAGTAAAAAAGAAAGAGTGTATGATGATGCTATCAACAACGGGGAAAATACAAAAAACTCCATAATTAAAAATGAATTCCTTCCCATGATCCTCAAATTCAAATGATAATAGGCCTACTGTACGCATTTTGTTTTCATCCACCGTTTTTACAGCTTTCTCTATTCCAAATTTTCATTGTAGGAATATTTAATCAAACACTAAACGGTACGATGTTATTTCTTGCCTAAATTAGATATTTATGTTAAGTAATGAAGGCTCCTACCAAAATAAAAACTTGTTTTATCCTACAAATATAACAAAGCAAACTCAAAGTTTCAGAAATATTTTGATCAAATACTTTTCCTCGTAAACAAACGCATCATGTGTACGTATTCTAAGTTCATTTAAGCGTTTCTTAACTATGAAATTTCGGTTAGTATATTAATTATATGAAATTTTAAAACAATATTTTAAGCCTTCGTCTGAATTTTACACTCACAGATGTGTAGTTTTGATTCCTCACAACCTAAGATTAATCAAAAATCAACCATACTTAATCAAGATATAAAAATTGTGATCAATGGAATAAAATTATTGTATTTATATGTTGCGTACGTTGGTATTGTACAAGTAAATTGCTCGTTTATGTTATAAAACTGTGAAAATAAGTTTCTCTATGGATTCAATTCTGTGCGTTACTCTATGCTATATCAATTTTCGTCTTTTTCGCTGTTGCCCTCCCTCCATCCCCACCACTTCCACAAATGGGGTTCCACCTAGAAGGATCAAGTCAGGATTTAGGGTTTAGTTAAACACGTGACCACGGCGAAGCCACGCCCTTCCCCCAGAAGGGAGGGGCCGGGACCTAGCTGACCGATTTGAGTTGTCGGTACCAACCTAGGAGGATTAAACATTAAGGAGAGGGCACGCGAATAGGAATACACGTGTTGCGGTGAAGCCAGCTTTAGCAGAACACTAGAGGGGCACGCGGAGCCGTAGAGTGGCAAAAAGCCTCGGCTATAACATGGGAGAGATAGGGAAAAACGCGACGCGCGCTGTTTCGAATTAAAATTGCCGCTAAACTAAAACACCTGTGTTATTCACCGATGGCATTCTTAAAGTAAATTAAATTTCCTATCGAACAGTGTCAATCATTCCTATAAAAAATATTATTTATTATTTATTATTGAAGATCAAAGTTGAAAGAATTGACCTGGACTTTGAACATATGATTACTTTAATTACGTTTTTGAAAAAAATATGATGTACCGGTATCTACACAAATTAACAATTTATTCGTGTCCCTTAAGAGTTTCTCGAAATAAAAAATATATATTTACCTATATTTAAAAGTGGTATTTAGAAAAATAATTACAATAAAGTTTTTTTTTCCAGTTTATAAAACAATCTTACTAATAATAGGTTAAAATTAAAATTTTAATTCGGGGGATGAAATACATTTTAAATTTGCATTTTTCATAGTTTTCTCGATTTGTTAATATAATTTTTTACTAGTTTTAAGTCATTTATGTGCTAGGCAGGTGATTTTAAATAGGTAGCCAAAGTTAAGAAAAAATGCAAAGCCACTCTAACTTTTTTTACACCAACAGCCGTTACAATATTAAATTACAATCATAAAAAGTAAAACAATTTCTTGGCAATCAAATTCTTGATTTTTTAAATATCATATTGAACTATATTTGATCTGTTTACCTAAAGAAACTTCGAGTAAAAAGTGTGAATGTTCAACAATCATCGCGTCTTCTGACCGCCAAAGTGCGTTTATCATTCTTTTAAAGGATTAAAACTTATTTGATTTCTCTTTAAGAAAATGTTCAAATACACATACAGTACTACTCATGATTTGAGTTTTAATTTATGAACAGTAAAATCCATTGGTGATATGGCGGGATTTGAACCCGGGACCCCATGAACCGGAGTCCCGCGCTCTGGTTAGAGTATTATAAATAATACACAATACAAGTATGGCAAAAATTAAAAACAAGGACAACGAATTCCAAAAAATAAGTCATCCTTGTGTAAATTAATTACTCACATTTGAACGTACTATCTTACTAATATTATAAATGTGAAAGTTTGTGTGTTTGTTTGTGTGTTTGAAGTTCAATCACACATAAACCACTGGACGGATTGGGCTGAAATTTGGCATGATGATAGCTTACATTCCCGATTAACGTATAGACATATTCTTATCTCAAAAATCCTTTCGGACTCCGCCCCAGTGGCTCTGTAATTCCCCATGGTAACCTTATGAGTATTCATATTTAAAGGGAATTAAAGAATTTAGTCAGCAGTTTCAACTAAAAAAGTTGGTTCTATGATATGGAAAAGCATTAAAAAGTTAAAAGATTTACCGACAGGGTGGAGCACTATATTTTTTTGCATTTATGAAAACAGCTAATTTGAACTAAGCAGCAACAAAAAACTGTGATTCACAATGAGAACTGTCAAAGTAGGATTGTTTACAGTTATGTTTATGTTTTTCATTTCATGAATAATTTGTGATATTTTGCGAATTGTTGATAATTTATTTTTCTCTATTGTTTAGGTGAAGTGGTAGAACATTATGGCTATGGTAGATGTGTAATAACTTACTATAGAATACTGTAAATTTAAAAAAGCAAATTTTATCAAACTGTGTCCTCCCTTATTCCAACCCCGTACGAAGGACGGGTACTCTGCTAGTTGGTTCATAAATATGACTTTCCTCTTAATAGGTTCCTAATATTACGGTTAGAATTTAACTTTTTAATTTTCGTAGGATGATGAAGTCTAATTTTTAAATATTTAATTGATATTTCTGTTACCAAATCTTCCAGTAACGCATACAACGCAGTATGAGAGGGGGGCGGGAGAGTAGCGCTGCCTCCCCCCCTCCCCAGTACGCTGGCTTCAACGAAACTACAGCGTGTCCTCTCCTTAATGTTTAATCCTCCTAGGTACCAACTTGATATGTGATTTAAGTGAAATGGTACCTAGGTGAAAGGTTGCCTAAAAGAAGGCCTCCCATGCCGGATTGCCGGGCTGATAATCTGAAGGTGCCGGGATCAAATCCCGCTGGTAGCACAAACGTTTTGTCTAAAATGTTTTCATTATCAGCAAGTTTGGTTGGTTTGGTTAGGTTAAAAACATTAAACAAGATGTGACCTCTGTTAAGCTCTTGGGTATTTGCATTGATACAAAACTGACTTGGAGCCCTCATATAACCTTGGTTTGCAGTAAACTTTCCAGAGTTATCTTCCTTTTGAGAAGTCTAATTAGTTGTCTAAATAAAAACTGTTTAAAAAAAGCCTATGTAGCTTTTTTTCAAGGAATTCTTTTGTATGGACTCAGACTCTGGGGTGGGTCTGCTGAAATTAATGAGGTATTGCTAATACAAAAAAGAGCTGTAAGAATCCTAGCAAACGCTGAGTATGATGCCCCTTGCAGACCTCTCTTTGTAAATGAGGAAATCATGACTGTTTGTAGTTTGTATGTTTTTGTTTCAGTTGTGCATGTACACTGAGCTAAAATTATAACTGGAGGTAGCACTGCCATGGCAGAAGTCTGTCAAAAGCGTGTCGCTGATTTTGTTAGGTTGGTATAGCAGCAGGTTTTTTCATCCAATAACATGGCTTCTATAACTAGGTTTGCATAGCAGTGAGTTTTTTCATCCAATAACATGGCTTCTTTATAACTCACACCTCACGCAAACATGGCGGCTGGCGACACGCATCGTTGACATTCAGTGCTACCTCCAGTTAGAATTATAGCTCGCCAGTAGTGTGCATGTAAAAAATTATCTCCAGTCACTTAGTCGTAGGGGTGATTATCATATGTACAATACCAGAAATAAGAACAATATTGATGTACCTTATGTTAGGTTAAGCAAAACAAAAAGAAATTCCAGTCAGTTGAGCATAAGGCTTCTTAACCACATTTCTTGTACAGCTTGGAACCAAACCAACAGAAAATTCAAAAACAATCTCCGGGCACTTTTATTGGCTTTCCCACTTTATAAGACCAGCGATTTCTTCGACATTCCCAAGGAGACTGTGAGAGAGTTTTTCCTATGTACGTAAGTAACAGATTGTTTTGTTTTGTTTTGACAGTAGTTTTGTGCATGGTTTGTTTTTGGTTTTGTTTGCTGTGTGATTTTTGCATTTAAGTTTTAATTTCATGAAAATTGTATATTGTTATTTGTTCTGACGATGCCTATTGCATTTCATGCCTAATGGAAAATAAAGCATTTCATTTCATTTCATTTCGTTATGAGAGTTTAATTTTATAATTAAAACATTATAAAATTAAATATTTAAGCCATTTATATTTTATTTTATGAACAGAACTATTTTTTCGATTTAACCTTCATTCGATTTTTTCATTATCAGCAGGTTTGGTTAGGTCATGACAGTTTATTTTATAATATAAAAACAATTAAATTGAATTTGAGGCATTTATAATTTTATTTAATGAACCGAGCTATTTTTATGATTATAGTAAACCTTCACTAGATTTTTTATGATCAGCAAGTTTGGTTGGTTTGGTTAGGTTATGACAGTTTAATTTTATAATTAAAACAATATAACATTGAATTTGAGGCATTTATAATTTTATATTATGAACAGAACTTTTTTTCGATCAGTAAACCTAGTGAATCAGAAGCCTCCAAATGACACTGTTGGCAAAACTAATCCTGAAAAAAAAAAAACTGTGCTACCGGGAGGTGGAATGCCCCGCCGCAATCCATCTGCTAAACCAATGGGAATGGAATGGAATACTGGCAGTAGTTCTTCTTCTCTTCCAATTCCAATGTAATCTAATTCTGATAATTGAAATTGAGATTCGATTCGAGACGAGATTGAGGTTATGTTATCGGTATGTGTACATACATAGGCTACACGAATTAGAACTACTGTCCAACTGTCCAAAAACGAAACACAAGAAACTACATATCTCCACATTACATACATTTGTCCACTATTTATTCATTGCGTGTTGTTTTCAATTAATCTTTTTACATAGTTGAGGTGAGTTAACATTCAATAGCTTGTTGAGAAACAAATTATAGACTAGGCCTAGGTCCTGAGTCTTCATGTCCTATCATCGATAAAGCTACTAGGCCCTATGCCTTGCCTTCGTAGGTCTGGAACTTATTACGTGATCACATTAGAAATGTTCTAATCTGCATAGTAAATAAGTTAAGAATTTGCTAACATCATTCTACATTCTTAAACAAATTTTTAGTTTAGGCCTAAACAATATTTATTCAATCATCTTTGTGGAGATAGAAACTGGAAACTTTACTTAGGCCCCAATTCAATGCCTAAGTTACATAGGCCCTATTCAGGGGGTTGTCTATGTCAGTGTTATATTTCAGCAGTCCCTCACTAAGTTATACACAGTACCGGTACCGGTAACTCTCGTGTTAACTTTAAAGCTTACTCCCAGTCAAGTCGTATACATTTCCAAGATCCCCATTAAATGGATTAATGTCAGGTGGTTGAGAGTATGGTAGGTGCCTACATTAATAGGTTTGTCAGATACACTAAGTAGGCCTAAGTTAACTAAACTTATCAACAGCTGACATTGCTATAGCCTACTGCAGCGGTTCCCAAACTATGGGTCCACGACCCACCGAGAGCACTTTTAGTGAGTCACGGGTTGAGATAAAAAATTAAAATATTTTAAAATCTGGACCCGTAATTGGCTGCACTTTTCAATTTACATCCACACTCATTCGAATGAAAATATCGATCGATAGGGCCTGTATCAATTACCTTATTATATTGTTTCATTCGATATATCGTTTGGTTAGTTAGGTAAGGATAACCTAACCTAACTAGGCCTAATCAAACGATATATCAAATGAAACAATCGAATAATCAATATTTTCATTCGGTTGAGTTAGCCTAATTCGAAATGAGTGTAGGACGTAAAGTAAAGTGCAGCCCGTAATTTTTACTTAACTTAGATGGGTTGAGTGGGCTCCAGAAAGAATAGAACTTAGTGTAGTCACAAATGAGTACTTAGTAAGGAACGGGAAGTAAATTAGGTAAGTTATTGACCATATACCATAAAGTAATGGTAGCCTACCCAACGTTTGGTTGAGGGGGGGGGGGGTTTGAAGCGATTAGGCCTAACGCTTTAATTTGGCGATTGTTTAAAATGTCTGATAAATTTCCTAATTAAAAATTAACATTGCCGCAATTGGCAAAGGGTCTGCCTACTTAGCTCATCCGTTTTTGGACGAATCTTTATGACGAGGAGATTACATCATGATGTTACCACAAATTCGGGAGATTATCATGACGTTACTGTGATCTTAATAAAGGTTCAAATACCTGTTATTAGGCAATCCAATTTTGTTGTAATCACAACTAGTTTCGGCACCTGTGTGGCACCATCATCAGGCTGTACAAGGATGGTTTTCTTACTTTATACGAAGGGCGTCATATTAATTTTTTTAAACTTGAAAATAATAAATAGACCTTTAAACACAATACAATCACAAAAACGAGACATTTAGGAAGAATTTGGGGCAGTAAAACCCGACCACCAAAATGTGCTCAATGAACAACTTTTGTTCACGTCTAATTTTATGTATGACACTGCCATCAGTTTACTGGATTGGGGAAGTGTGATTGACAGGATGCAACCTGGTATAAGATAACGGACGTACACCACTGCACTGACCACCTTCAGTCTGGATTCAAACTCCGTCGGGCTAGCGTCGTCTATTATCGTAACTGATCAGTTACCATAAATTCTCGTTTTTGTGTTGGTGTCATGTTTAAATGTCTATTTATTGTTTTTATGTTAATCAATATGACACCCTTCGTATGAAGATAGAAAACCATCCTTGTACAGCCTGATGTTGGTGCCAAACAGGTGTCGAAACTATTTGTGTTTACAACAATATTGAATTGCCTAATAGCAGGAATTTGAATTTTTTTTAAATATTATTTGGCAATCCGGAGGCTAACACATAAAATCACTGTGATTGTTGGAGATGGTCACAATAGTGCTCGATTACGGATCGTAGGATGGGTTTGTGGTAGGCCTAACTTAACATGTTGACTGCGCGTGCCGACTATACAGGCGCTCCCCAGTGGCGGGCGAAGCCCCGGCGCGCAACCGAATCAGCGAACGCATTTGGCATTCAAATATTTCAGTCTGACGAATCACAAAAGAGCAGTGGTGACTGTGCTGCGTTACCCCGAGAGTGGATGTAGTTCACTGAAACACCCAAAGGTAGCAGCACTGCACGGATCCGTATCCAGTGTCTTTGTAATGTGGGTTGAAGAGAAAAAATCCCCTAAACCGGGACAAAAGCATTGCCAGACAGGATTTTACGGGAAATTTTAGTACCAACCTACACCAAAGTAAAGCTCGCATTCTAAGCTGGCAGGCTGGCAACGATTATAACGTCTCCGTCTGAGGCTAAGCTCACACTGACTCAATATATTTCTGTTGGTCTGGTGCCGACTTTTGTCGGCGCGCGCCACCTGGGAGCGCTGGCGACGCCGACTAAAGTCGGCGCGCGCAGTCAACGTGTTAAATACAGAATAGGTACACAAAAGGTACTCTGCTAAACAACTTGTTAACATATGAAACACGCTTTTAAACCCATAGCAAATCTTGATTTTTGTAGTAATATTAACAACTAGGTGAAACCCGTCGAAATCGACGGTTACTCTCAAGGCTTACGCTAATTCATCTAACTGCGATAAATTGAGTGAAATTATACATATTATGAGCATTTAGCATTGTTTGAATATTAATAAGTGTAAAAACAATAATGATATTAATTGCGTTAGTTACCAAATATTGATCATTCAATGAATAAAATATTTCCCATACTGTACGTCATCGGAGTTGTTAGTATGCTATCTGGTATCTCTTCCTTTGGAAGAACCTTTAAATATTATTAAAACCGTATTAGTGGATCTTTTGTAGTTAAACACTTCCGTGGTTTCATCAGTGTAATGCAGATTAATCTTTGATTTTATTTGAAAAAAAAACCGGTTTGATGGGAAGACTCGTTCTAACTTCAAAGGGAGGTATATTCGTTACAGTGTAAGTTTGATTTTTCCTTTGTCGCGTCAGTTCACATCATAATTTTGTGCCAATGAATAACCCTCTAGCACAGTTTTGAGAAATTGGTTGTGGGGTTACTGTTAAAGCTGGAATTCCTTGACATGGGGATGTCAGTTAGTTGTCTCAGCCTTATCAGTTACCACATAAAGTTGTCAATATAATCTCTCTACGGAATGTTAGGTGTATTGGAATAGACTTGAAGTGAAGTTGGCTTTTATTCTTGAATTGTTAGGGGCCTCCTCATTTATATGGTCGTGCAGCTTTATCGGCAACAAATAATGCGAATGACATAGTAATGTGGCATTTCCAAAAAGCAAAAAATAATGTAAATTGGCTGTTACGTAAATATTGACGTTTACATGCATTGTTAATCAACGTATCTTATAAAAGATTATGTGATTTAGTTTAAAAGAAATATGACCGTTCTGTCATGACAGTAGCTGTTTAAATAGTATTTACTCATTGGGCAACTTTTACAGCCAAAATGTTGTGTTATTTTTAATAATGTTACCAACGCAGTGGGCTACGGTCCGTAATATAGGCCACTGCAAATAACTTGTCAAGATAGGTACTATTTTAGGCAAGGTTTCTGTGTTTGAATGTTATTAGAAACGGTAAGAGCACAATAAAATTCTTCTTCAGATGAATTTTCTGTTGGAGAAATATAAGCCGAATTATAAATGTCACAATGCGAGTGTGAGCATTTTGTAACTCTATTATATAGGTTTTTTAGGCTGCTGTTCAGTGCACTTTAAGAATATATATTTTAGAGATAAATTAAATGGTTTTTGTTGGTGAGTAGCGCTAATAAACATACACAACCCTTTTCGTTAATCTAATAACATTCAAAGGCTCTCTAAGAGTTCAAGTTCTTATTTGTATACATATCTATATTATGTTTTCACTAAGCTGAATGAATACATCAAAGTACCCTCTCTGAAAAGTCTGCAGTATATTGCAGTTTTCCAGCTTAATGACTTTCTAAATCATGCACATATTTCTACATAAATATTGTAAAATGTTTGATCCAGTTGCTATATTTAACAAAATATGGACACGGCTCAAATGGGCACCGTGCCCTTCTGCACTTGTATTATTTTGTACTAGCTGTAACCCGCGGGCTTTGCCCCGTTTAACTTCTTAATTTTCAAGATTATCTCGTTCGCATGGCTCAATCACGTCCTGGTTGAAGTTTGTTCGCTACGCTCACTCACCTTTAGGTTGGAGCTTGTTCGCTACGCTCACTCACCTTTAGGTTGGAGCTCGTTCGCTGCGCTCACTTGCCTTCAGGTTAACTCGTTTGCTACGCTAACTCGCCTCTAGGTTGAAGTTCGTTCGCTACGCTCACTCACCTTTTGGTTGAAATTAGCTGTTGTCATAAATGTAAAAGAAATAATAGTGCTGCACCCTGTTGGTAATCCTTGTAACTTTAATGCTATTGAACATCATAGAACTATTTACTCTATTGTCTATGATAGAACAGAACCAACTTGTTTAATTGAAACAGCTGTTAAGATTCAATAATTCCATTTCTCATAAGGTTAACATGGGAAACTCCAGAGCCACTGGGGCGGAGCCCGAAAGGATTTTTGAAATAAGAATATGCCTAGCCTATATGTTAATCGGGGATGTGAGCTATCATCATGCCAAATTTCAGCCCAATCCGACCAGTATTTTTTGCGTTCACTTGTCACAAACATACATCCAAACTTTCTCATTTATAATATTAGTAGGATTGTACTACACAATCAAAGATTTTTCCAATGATTGAAAGCATGTATGACAATAATCTCATGAACCTACGATGATCTTTCTAGAATAATATGATAAAATATAGGGAAAAGGTGTGAAAAAGCCAGAAACCAACCCGAAAATAGATATAAGATAGTTCAATAAGAAACAATTGTTAGAGTTATTGTGATAAAAGGATTTTCCACTGATTTCGTAATGGAACTTTATAATGCAACACATGACATGATATAGAAGAAAATCAATTTTAAAATCAGAAAATAACATTGAAAATACTTCTTTTGGACTATTCAGTAACTCCCAATAAATGTGTGTTGTTTAAAATACAATTTTAAAATTAACAGCTGTTTTATTAAAAAGTATTATCCACATGGCCAAAATGTAAACAAATCTGTGGAGGGATCTTTAAAGGCTTCTGGGGCAGAGCCCTAAGCGAATTTACTTAGTTTTTCTTTTGATAACTCATCTACAGACCAATACCTTTCTTTGGACACCTCTACCAAGTGTCTACGCCCAGCCGTTCTCTCAAATTAGTGGAGACAAAGTTTCCAATTAAATATTTAGATTTCCCCATGTTAATCTTATGGGAGAAAATCCAACTTTGATGGAAGATCCTGCCCAAACTAATAAAGATATCAAAAAACCAAAAACACTTTGCAAAACTACAGATCAGGGCAATTCTTTTGACACTTTAATCATCAAAATCGGTCCAAAAATGAGGGAGGAGTTCTGTTCACAAAAATCGGCTTAGCGTATTATATATATAATAGAAGATTAGATTTAGGCTCTAACTTAGGCCCTAGTAAAATTCTTATCTACCAGGCCTAACTTCCTATTAAATGGGTTTCTGTCATTACAATTATCTCTAAGAGCTTAAAAAGAATTGTTTAGCTAATGTGAAAGATTCTTAAAATATCACTATCTTTTGTAAATAATCCATCCTAGGTTTGGCATATTGTTAAAATGGTTTACAATACCTGCATATAGTAATCCTTCTACTACTAGTTTACTAGTTTTACTACTAGTAATTACTAGTTTCGGTTCTTGTTTTGAACCATCATCAGGCCTCAAGGTGTCAGGTAATCACTTCATTCGAAGGTCGTTAACAAACAGAGTTCAATAAATAAAACATATACAAAACACGATAACACTGAACGGACAAACATTACAAATAACACGAAAAACACGAAGGGACATTGACAATCGATTGTGACCGGGCTGAGGAAGTCTAGACCCCCGGTCTAGATCGCCTATTTGAAAAAACGATCATCAGTGCTCGATTTGTAAAAAATTAGTTGCTGAAACTGTAACATATTCAATGTGATTAGTACCTAATTTATGCCAATATTTTTATCTTTCTGAAATAGAGGTACTGCCGCATTCCCCCGCAAATCAAGCACTGACAATCATTGATGTCACTGACACAAAGTGAGGATATGTAGGCCTATGTGACACAATTACTGTGCCGCTAAGTTTTGCTCAAAGCGTTGAGCCGCGTTCGCTCCTGCCGGCCGCTCACGTAATGTTGGCGTGGCGGTAAATTTAAATTTATCATCTTTGGCAGCGATTTCTGTAAACCAGCTTTTAGGATTACTGGCATTTAGATAATAGGCGCCCTACTGTAGTAACTTATAGACGTTAAGATAATTAAAAACAATAGGCTACTGCTGTTCTTAAAACAAACACATTATAGAGTTGGTATTCTTTGTCATTCTGTCAGAGATTGCCTGAACAAAATCTCAATCTTGTTTAAAAACTTGAAATCTTGTTTGATTCAAACAAACTGGTTCAAGAAATCTGTTTTGATTTTATAAGTATGTTAAATTATTAAATTCAAATAACTCATGGTTAGCATAAAATTAATTAAAATTTATCATCCCCCTTAAGGGTTGACTTAAAATAATTCTCTCAAAACCAATCCCGGTACAGTACTTTCCTGTTAAAGGGAACATTCATTATTATTATTATTGATGATTTTTTTTTCGACATCTCACTATGTTATTGCACTAAATTGTAGCCTACCAAATATCAAAATGGAGCTGTAAAATAAAATAAATAAAATAGAATTTCATTTTTTAATCCGATAGGCTATATTGATATTTAAGGAATTGAAACATATCAGCTGATAACTACGATCAATAAATATTGTTCAGTATCAACAATCATTAAAAAAATATTATTGTAATAACTGTTATAAACTAACCTAACCTAATTAACCAAACTTAGTGTAACATTTTATAATTTTGTTTGATATTACCCACTGTCTTTTCTGTTATCAATCGGAATTTTGAAATGGTAGCCTACTGCAAGTTTGGTTAGTTATGTTAGGTTAACTTATTTTAGAACAGTTTCATTTCTTAATCCATATAGGCCTAGCCCATATATTACTTTTACTGAAGATGTCAATTTGTAATTTAAACACGTTTGAAGATATTAAAACAGGAGGAATATGGATTGAAAAGGAAAACAATCATATCAATATATCGAAGGAAAAAAAATTGATAATAATGAATGTTCCCTTTAACATGAAAGTACCTACCTCAATCCCTTTAATTGCTTGATTTTTAACAAGCCATAGTTTATCCAAGATTGCCCCAGCTTAATAGTCTGAAACTGGCTTTAATGGACTTAAGACTTAAGAGCCATATGAGAATTACCATTATGAGAATGGTGTGTCAGTAAGAGAAGCTGAACAGTGCATAGACTACTGATATTCATATTTGGATAAAATACAAGTACTGTAGTTAGGGTCGCCAATTTAAATATTGCTAAGTTCATGCTGTAGTGGTGTTAACTAAGGATACACACAATGTGGCTACAGTTTTGAGATATTGTTGGTGTTAGTTATGGTGGAATCCAGAACAAGATTCCATCCAATTGTAGGTTATAAGTATTTGCCTGAATTAAAAATGGTATTCATACATTTGTGTTTATATTTCAGGTTTAAAGTGAGACAGAAAAAAATTAATCGAAAGAAAACAAAGTGTTTGGGAAAAGTAAAATCACACAATGAAGAAAATCAGTTCAAATTAATCAAAATGTTAACAGACGGTGATAGATTAGAGCCTGTAGTAGATATAAGCGAGTCTGACGAACAAGTAAACTTAACATCACCTCCGTCCTCTGATGATGGCAATGACTTAGAGTGCAACCTCTGTGGCAAAACATTCATCTCCAAGAAGACTCTAAAACGCCACTTTCAAGTGCACAACCCCAGCAAACCTTACGCCTGTGATATATGTAATAAGCGTTATAAACGTCTAAATGATATTAACGTTCACAAAAAGCTGCACAGTAGTAAATTGAAGCTGACTTGTGAAATCTGCGATTTTACTACATTTTACCATTCGGCTATCACTAATCATCGAAACAGGCATGCAGAAAATTACAAGTACAATTGTGATCTTTGTGGAAAGGGGTTCTTTGTGCGAACGTGGTTTTTAGAACACATTAATTTTCACACGGGAGAAAAACCGTTCAAGTGCGACCTTTGTGGGAAATGTTTCATGTACTCTAGATACCTCACCGCACACAAGAAAGACATGCATTCCACACTGAATGGAATGAAACCTATCAATCAGTGTCCTTTTTGTGAACAGCTGTTTTCTCACAAAAAATCCTTGCAGCATCACATGAAATCCCACACAGGGGAAAATAAATGTCTTTGTGATATATGTGGCAAAGAACTGTCTAGTCGTGATCATCTCAAGTTGCACCGTCGCATCCACACAGGGGAAAAGCCCAACATGTGCAGCGTTTGCGGAAAAGCTTTTGCAAAGAGGTGTAACTTGATCAGTCATGAGCGTATTCACACCGGAGAACGTCCGTATGTCTGCGACTTGTGCGAGAAACGGTTCAACCAACATTCAGCTCTTGTAATTCATCGGAGACTACACACAGGACAAAGGCCATACAGATGCAACATTTGCCAGAAGACTTTTGTCTGCCAGTCGACGCTCACTACGCACATGAAAGGTAGTTGTGTATCCAAACGATCTACTTCAGCCCCATAATTTCAGTGGTAAACTTATAATAAGCTCTTTGGTGGTTAAATTGTATAGAATTCATAAAGTTCTATTGCTAGACACAGTGGTCGACAGAAATATTGCAAAGCAATAAAGCTCTCATGGATGACCTAATTAAGGCGAGTTTGTAAGCCTTCTCTGTGGATACAGAACCGTGAAGTAGACATTCCCATTCTAATGTTATATTTAGCCTACTAGTTTTAGGTTAAGAAGAACATAGTTGAGTAGCTCCTTCAACAGAGTGTGCTTTTAAAATATTGTTTAATTTACTAAACACAAACTTTTTATCATACTAAAAGTGCAAACTAGACAATCTTTTATGTTCATTTCAACTATCGTGGTAAGATAAACTGAAACAAACCAAAATATAACTTCAATAGTGGCACACTGTATGATAGGCTAATTCAAGTGTACGTTCTCTTTGAGTAGGTAAATAAAAACTAGATAAATGGATGGGACATCTACTTCATTGTTTAAAGTCAATGGTTAAAGAAGACCTGTGTAAAAAAGCATCACTGTTAGGTATACCTCATAGTTGCTTTAATGTCAGCAACTCTAAAAGCTATGATATTTTAGTCTTTTCCTAGTCAGTACATGGGCATTTTCAAAATATTTGTGACAAGAGTGGCGCAGCGTAGTTGATGACTAAGTAAATTACTAAGAATTGAGATATTCACTCTTGGTTTTTGTTTTCTTAAAATTGTGGTTGTGACCTCCTTAAATCTTGAATCCACCAATTGTAGGCCTACAATAACATAAGTTTCAGTTGGGCCTATTTGTAGCCTGTAGCCTGCTATAAGTGGTAAGGTCAGAACTTATTATGGAATTTAACTATAGGCACCTTACAAAAACTGTTCCTCAATAGCCTACAGTAGATTTTAACCGACCTTGCATTAACCGATAATCGGATTATCCGCTCTCGCTTGTAAAATATTACAGTGTGTAGACTGACTTTGCTGTGAGAACCAAAGACTAACTTCAACTATGTCGGTGGGTTTTGACTGTGCTTGGTTTAACTGCTGCTTTCTAGGAATCACGGCATTTCCGCCCCCACGCTCTGCGATGGGCACAATACACTAAACTAATGCAGGATGTTACTGAATAAATGCCCGTTGTCCAAGAAGCATCCAAGATGCATGTTGTCCAAGATGCATGTTGTGTTCGTCGCTGAGAAATAGACGCGGGCGATGGACGCTCAGTGAATGCTAAGCATTAATTTCAATGGGGCCGTTGACCAAGAAGCACCAGACGCTTGAGGTGCTGAGCTTCGGACGCGGGGCACTGCTCCGGGAGCAGATGGCTGATGGCTGATGGCCAGTGTCTATTGCGTATACTGCATTGTTGTGTTGGTGCTCCCCTGCACTCTCAAGCTTCGGTGTCATATTTTTTAAGAATGTCGTCTTGCTATTGGGTATGGAGTGCGATTGTATGAAGTTTTTTATAGATCCTCCTCTACCAAGTTGCAAACAAACTTGAAATTGTTCTACAAAAATCTAAATTAACAAAATACACTCCCGTTTGCGTTTAGATGGTTTTGAATCACTATTTTAACATGTCCTCCCTTGGTTCTCCTTGTGAATAAACTCAGAATTGAGGTTCACTTGTAATGTCCAACATTTCCTCGTCTTCTATTTCTTCAATCAACAGAAACTTTGTCTCAATTAATATTACTAAAGGTATTGAAATAAGAATTTTTATTGACTCTTGCTTTTCCTACGCTTATAATTTCTTCCACTGAAAGTAGTTGACTTTACTGTGTTTTTGGTTTATTTGTGACTTTTCTATAAGAAAAAAAGGAGATAAGTGTAGTTAATTTTGTAAATAATGCACACACGACTTCAGAAAAATGATTAGGCCTGTATCATTTCAAAAGAATGGCAGTACATTTTTAAAAATTGTTTAGGGATCCATTTTAACCGTCCGGTCCAGTTAGGGTCGGTTAAGTGGGGGTCTACTATAGTAGGCTACCACTGGTCAGGAGTTAAGTTTGGTTGTGAGATTTTAACTCTGCCAACCCCAACTGTGGTATTATGTCTGTTGGTTGACATTGTTGTTCTTAACTAACCAATGAATCGGCTTGATCCTTGTTATGAATTCCTGTCTCTAGTAATCAGCTGAAGTATTTATTTACTTGTTGTTTGTATTAGAGATTTGTTTACCTTTCCAGCTATGTAAGAATTTAAGTTTATTAAAGCCTTATTTTCTAAAAAGGTTCAGTTATTCACAACAAATTTAATAAACTTAAACTTATCAAGATAATTAAATAATCAAAATCAAAATGGAAAGACTTTTAAAACCAGACAGGTTTGATATTAATCCTGAAAATCCTTCTGCAAGTAGAGCATTCAAACATTGGTTCAGGACACTTGAAAATTTCATATCTGACTCAGAAGTTACTGAAGAGAGGAAACTTAACGTGTTGATTAATTTTCTTTCTTACAATGTCTACGAGTATATTTCTGAATGTTCCACGTTTAAGTCAGCAGTTGAAATTTTGCAAACTATTTATAATCCTAAGAAGAATGAAATTTATGCTCGACACATGCTAGCAAACCGCAAGCAGAAGAAAGAAGAAAACATAGACAAGTATCTACAAGAGCTTAAACTTCTAAGTAAGGATTGCAATTTTCGTGCCATAGATGGAAATACTTATCGAGATGAAGCCGTTAGAGATGCCTTTATAAGTGGAATTATGAACCCCCAAATTCGACAAAGACTACTAGAAAAACCGTCCTTGACATTAAAAGAAGCTGAGGACATTTCACGTTCACTTGAGTCTGCACAGAAGAGCTGTGAAGCATATAGATCTCCAAACCAAATTGAAGTTACATACTGCAACACTTCGTCAACACTACCAGATCAACTGGATGAAAATATAGATCCTGAAGAGTCTCCTACTTCAGCAGCTGTAGCGAAAAACTTTAAACAGAAGTGTTTCTACTGCGGTGGCCGGCGTCATTTTACTCGAAACGACTGTCCTGCCAAAGATGCTACTTGCTCTGGTTGTAAGAAAAGGGGACATTTTGTGAAGGTATGCAGGTTGATGAAAGCTCAAGGTAAGACCTTTAATGCCTCTTCTTTGGTAGTAACCACACTTTCATGTGCAGCTGCCTCCAATGGACTGTCAAAAGCAGTTGTGCGGGGTTATGCGAATAAAATTCCTGTTGAAGTTTTGGTTGATACTGGAAGTACCGATAGTTTTATAAACCGAGCTGTGGTAATTGAAAATGGTTTTCATGTAATTCCAGAACGGAAACAGGTATCTATGGCTTCCACTAACCTTAAGTCACCTATCAAAGGTTATGTTTCTGTGAACTTAGAGTTCTCTGACCATAACTATGAGAGAGTACAACTGTTTGTTATTGACAATCTGTGCACTGACATATTGGTTGGTCATGATTTAATGAAACTGCATTCTTCAGTGAACCTAGATTTTGGAGGAGATAAGTTACCTCTGTCCATTTGTAATGTTGCCTGTGCTTCTGTAGAACCACCACGCCTTTTTCATAATCTATCACCTGACTGTAAGCCCATTGCAACTAAGTCTCGTAGGTATTCTAATGATGATGAAAAGTTCATCAACACTGAAGTGCAAAAACTCCTTCAAAGTGGTATAATTGAAGAAAGTTCATCTCCCTGGCGTGCACAAGTGCTTGTTACCAAAAGCTCAACTCATAAAAAGCGATTAGTAATAGATTATAGTCAAACTATAAATAAGTTTACCCTATTAGATGCCTACCCCTTGCCTAATATTGAAAACATAGCTAGTAAAATAGCAGAAAATAAAGTATTCAGTACTATAGATTTAAAGGAGGCTTACCATCAAATACCAATATCGGAACATGAAAAATGCTTCACAGCATTTGAGGCAGCAGGAAAACTTTATCAGTTCTGTAGGGTTCCATTTGGTGTAACAAATGGTGTGTCTGCTTTTCAGCGCACGATTGATAAGATTATTTCCACTGAAAAACTAGAAGGGGTGTGGGCTTTCATTGATGACATAACCGTAGCCGGAAAAACTCAGTCAGAACATGATGAAAGGCTGAATAAATTCTTAAAGGTAGCTAAGAAATATAATATTACTCTAAACAATGAGAAGAGCAAATTTTCTCAAGACATAATATCAATCTTAGGATATCAAATTCGCTACCAGTCTATGCAAGCAGATCCAGATCGTCTGAAACCCTTGTTAGATTTACCATTGCCAGTTAATGCATCTCAATTAAAACGTGCATTAGGAATATTTTCTCACTACTCAAAGTGGGTTCCTAAGTTCTCAAACAAGATTCGGCCTCTGATTGATTGCAAATCTTTTCCTATATTGTCCTCATCTTTGCCAGCTTTGGCTTTTCAGGAAATTAAACAAGACATAGGAAAATCAATACTCACCGTGATTGATGATAATTCTCCATTAGTTGTGGAAACAGATGCATCAGACTTCGCTATCGCTGCCACGTTAAGTCAAAAGGGTAGACCTGTCGCTTTCTTTTCAAAAACATTGACAGATTGTGAAAAACGTCATTCGTCTATTGAGAAGGAAGCCCTAGCCATAGTCGAATCTCTAAAGAAGTGGAGACATTTCCTCATTGGGCGACATTTTCTATTAATCACCGATCAGCAGGCTTTGTCGTTTGTGTTCAACAGTCGGCATACTAGTAAAATAAAGAATGAGAAAATCACTAGATGGCGTCTTGAGTTGTCACCTTATTCTTTTGACATACAGTACAGACCAGGTAAAGAAAACGTTACCGCAGATGCATTTTCACGCGTTTGTGGAGCTGTCACAAACATAAATTGTGATGACAAGCTTTTTGCACTTCACCAGTCACTTTGCCACCCTATAATCACTAGGATGTACCACTGGGTAAAAAGTAAAAACCTTCCTTACTCGGTTGAGGATGTTAAAACAATGACAAACAAATGCCCAATGTGTGCAGAGATTAAACCTCGTTTCTATAAAACTACAAATGCTCACCTTATCAAGGCCACAAAACCTTTTGAGCGACTTAATGT